CATGATCTTGACTTCACACCCGTTGACGCATCCACCAGTCGGTTCAGTGACGGCCTCGGCTGCAACGAGACCTGCATCAATGATCCGCCCTGCTTCCCCATCATCACACCACCAGGTGATCCGAGGATTCGTTCGCGTTGCATTGGGTTCGCCAGATCCAGCGCGACCTGTGGCTCGGGATCCACTTCGATCCTGCTAGGCCGGCCGCAACATCGAGAACAAATCAATCAGATCAGCGCTTTTATTGACGCATCCAATGTCTACGGCAGTGAGGATTTTGAGAGTCGACAGTTGAGGGACACCCTTTACGACGAAGGCCGTCTTCGGGAAGGTATGCCAACTCCATCGGGCAAGAGACTGCTCCCCTTCAACATCCGTGGACAAGTAAGTTGGGTAGCTCTGTTCATCTTCCAGTTGTTTTTTTTGGAAGGGGTCTCATCTCATCAGTCATGGACCTGACATATCCAACGTAGACATATTTAAAAATACTGCGGGACATAAATAACTACTTATGTTTAGCAGTAGTGGCCCGGAACGGCGCTGTTGAGCTCATCGGCAAACCAGGAGTACCTCTACCATTGGCCAGGTGGACGTCATACAGACTATAATTATCTTCAATTTTTATGCAACTTCGTGTTGGGCATAACCACAAGCAGAAGTAAAAGGGGGAAAAGCTTTTACTTATCATAGCCATCATTCTTTTGATTAACAAGAACCGTAACGACGGCAGTGTTTCAAACGGTTCGTCTCTTTTTCTGCCTTAATGTCAAGAAACAATAAAGGATTAATGTTACGACAATTTGACTTAGTAACAACATAAAGCTCATAGTAGCAGTATTTCCGTATACAACCTTGAGAATTCAGGACCAATTGGACAGCATTTGGCGAGTCTAGTCTCCCCTGATCACGTCATTTATGGAGGCAAGTCTCTTCGTATGGAAGCAACAGAGACATTCAATTTAGCATCTTATGCGCAAAATATGGTCAAGCTGGCCAACATTAATTTCAAGGGCATTGATTTGTTGATTGGTGGATAAGCCAAGTGCGCCGAAACTAACATTAACCTTCCTGACCTGTTTCTATGACCTCTTCCGTATGAATTCAGGTGTTGTATTCTCCCATTCGTTACTCACTTTATGCAGCGAGAGGACGCAGCCGATGAGCACTCGCGAAATCTATAGTTCCAATAAACTCTGCTGTATACGCAATCTTCAGATTTGCACCTGGGAAAAAATGCTTAAGGAGAGAATTCTTATACTTTCAACAGAAGTGTCGGTTAAAGGCCTCAGCGCGTGAATTGCACAATTTTCGCACCTCTAGTACACAACTACCACGGAACTAGGTCATCACTGAGTCCCACCGCAGTCCCATAAGTTTACAGGCACATATGTAGTAGGTTAATAAACGCGCATGGATCAGTTACAGCGTCGGACTTCTAAGCAACAGGTCACGGTTTCGAGCCTCGGATAGTGCATCATCAGGGGTAGGGTTAGTCGATGACGATTACTAAGTCAGAACTGGCTATTCCTGTCTCCCTCGTTTTTGTCGCGTTTAATACTTTTTTTAAATCAGAACTCATTAGGGCCGCTGTCCTAGAAGTCTTCGCTGCTGCAATAGAAATCTTCATAAGTAAATTTCCGATCCTTCCTTCAGGACCGTGTTCTATCTTTTGTAGGTAGACTGCCAAGCCGATCCACAACAGGATTTCGTGCCGTGCTTCAAAGCCGGTGACCACCGCAATAACGAAAACCTCGGTCTCATCTCGATGCACACTATCTGGATGCGAGAACACAACCGCATTGCAGATGGCCTGCGCACTCTGAACCCCCACTGGAGCGGTGACCGGATCTACCAGGAGGCCCGCAAGATTGTCGGTGCCTGCATGCAATCTCTCACCTACCAGGTCTGGCTTCCAAAGATACTCGGCGAAGAGGGAATGCGCATGTTGGGCAGGGAGTACACCGGCTACAATGTCTCAGTGAATCCAACCATCAGCAATGAGTTCGCCACCGCAGCCTTCCGCTTCGGGCACACTCTCGTCTCACCCATCCTCTTTCGTCTGAATGAGCGTTGGGAACCCGTCCCGGAGGGTCATCTTCTGCTGCACCAGGCCTTCTTCGCACCAGACAGGATGCTCAAGGATGGCGGTATGGATCCGATCTTGCGCGGTCTCATGTACCACGGTGTACGCGACGTCCTCCGTCAACCGGCTCTCAACCCCGAACTGACAGAACGGTTGTTCGCGATGGCCCACCAGTTGGCGTTGGATCTGGCCTCCTTGAACGTGCAGAGGGGGCGGGATCATGGCCTGCAGCACTACACTGCCTACGCTTACCGAATCTGTGGTCTAGGCAGCTCGGCGGCTCCTGACTCCTTCGATGATCTAGCAGATAGGATACGTGACCCACAGGTAAAGTCAAAGTAGGCTTAACGACAATGAAAAACGGACAAAAACAGTAGATAAACATAGACAGAAAGTTAGATATCGTATAAGAAGAAAGTGTAAAATGTGATTTTGATTAGAGATATCCACATAGATATGAATTTAGTGTGTAGTACCCTACAGAATAAGCTAGTGATTTTTTAGTCAGCTAGGATTTTCATGGATATCTTCAAGGTAGCCTTAAAGAAACTTGCTTTATAAAAATTGAGCACTTCTGGAGCATGTAGATTTTCTGTTGCTATTTGATGCGCTCATAATCCAAACATATTTTATAGAAAGCACATAATAATTTTTCTTTCTTGTACTTGTTTAGTGGCAAGTTTCGTCCTCTTAAAATGTTTATACTTTAAGAAAGCGTATCTTTTAGTTTAAAATGTTTGTGACCATGTATTTTTGGCAATGGCGAAAAATCTATTCAAATAGCATCGTATCGGTGTGTTTACTAATATTCCTTGTGAGGTGCATAATGCGGCACATATCTATTACAAAATTTTCGGAGCCCTATACAGTATATTCCTAGTGGTCTGGATGAATATAGGATTTTTCTTAAGTGGAAAGTGTACAGCTCGTGGATTGAAAATCCTAAACGCAAGTGCAATAACAGGTGAAGAAATTAAAAAAAAAACCTTTGAAAATCGGACAATGTCGGTTTTACGAGCTGAAAAATGGAAGAACACCTAACTTTCTTTAAAATTGGTATCAGATTGAATATTTTACGGCATGCTTTTAGAAAATATATTTTGGGAGTTACAAAGGCATTGAAAATCAATAAAGGAACTTCACGCTACTTAAATATTTGTTTCTTAGTGAGTTGTTTTGCAGGCGCCAAGGCAAGCCCGCATTCAGCAGTTGACTTATTGGCTTGAGTGAAATATCTTGGGATTATGCGGCCTGATAATTAATATCGCAATCTTTCTAACCAAAGTCCCATTTTTGAACTTTTATTAAAAGTTTACAAGTTAAGCCACCTACTGTAACTCCCCGGAGTTGCGGTCAGCTGGATTGATCAAAGTTTAACTTCTATAAATTTAGGATTATGTTATGTGTTGCAACGGACTGCCTGCTATTGCACTGCTATGTTGAATTAAATGCAAACTTTTTACTAGACGCCCTAGAAGACTAATGACCTGAAACTTACTGTGGACAAGGTTGAAGTCGCAGAGCACAACAAATATATGCTGTGAGCTGTTACAGCCACTCTTGTACGAGTTCGCCATCGGTCTTTATTCTCGTAAGGTAGATTTGTTTTTGCCTGAGTGTCATCTCTGCAGAAGGTTAAAGATTGTAATGATAGTACGGCGCAAGTCCAATATAGTTCATAATAAGGAGATAAAGAGCATTCACAGATAAGATTACGAGACGTATTCGTCGCGTTACGTGTAGGGCTCAATGCAGAATTCAGATAGCAGCCGACAAGCCAACGGACCTCTGATTCGGGGGCAGGGCGTTGGACTTGATCGAGGCATCTGGGTTTGAATTCCAAACTATCAAAACCTGGGATGAGTGTGGCCGACTGGCGACAGCTAAAAAGCCAGAAGCGGCCATCCCAGTCTCTCGTGATTTTGTTGATATTCTTTTCGTTATTCTAAAGTACAATAAGAAGACAAGTGCCCAAACTTCTTTTAATCACTTTATTTATCTAATTTTTCTTTTGATGGATTCTCCAGGTTCGCGAAAAACTACGTGCGGTTTACGGCCATCCGGGAAACATTGATCTTTTTGTGGGCGGCGTTTTAGAGGATGTTTTACCTGGAGCTCGAATGGGCCCCACCTTCGCTTGCATCATCGCAGACCAGTTCAAGCGTCTGCGCAGTGGAGACCGCCTCTGGTACGAGACGCCAGGTCTGTTTACCACTGCCCAATTGGCAGAACTACATGACAGCGGCAGTAGTCTGGCCCGCGTCATCTGTGAGAACGGTGACAATATCACGGAGGTGCCGTTGGACGCTTTCAAGCGACCTCGCGGTCGTCAGGACTTGGTGCGCTGTGCGGACGTGCCAAAGTTGAACTTGGCCCTATGGAAGGAGTGTCCCACGCCAAGCGGCAGCTACTTTGGTGCCTTTAATGACATTGGCGAGTTTGAGGAACCCCAGGTGACTCGCCGCGTCCGGCGCAGTATTGATGACGCCTCCTGTGACGCCTCGTCAGCCTGTGGAGGAAAAATGGATGTGAATGCTCTGGAACAGGAGATAGAAGAACGAGTACGGCTGCATGATCGACAGCTCCAAAGACGCCGGCGAGATGCTGGTGTCTAGGAGAATTTGAACATGCTGAGGAGCTCGTAAAGCAATATGAGGGATTCGTTTGATCTGGTTTACAGTCTTTGAGTTTTGTAGCCCTTCCAGCAACCGAATATTTTACGAAATTTGGTTTTCAATTGTGTGAACTGGGTTGAAAGATAAGCACTGGTTTATTAGGATGTAATTGTCCACTAGTGATCGTCCTGTTTGGCTACTAATCGGGTAGGCCGAAATAACTCTTCTAGCAGTCGTTGCAGTTGTGACAGTAATTTTGCTAGATTGTCCTAATCATTACAGAAAATTGTGCTTCTTGCTGACATGCATGATAGTTGGGTATCGATCGTGTAGTGACTAACGAAAGCATTCACCTAAAGCAACAGCCCTAGTGATTTTACTTTCAGCATTTTATTTCTAGGCTGTATTAACTCCTGACTTTGTTCTCCCGCAATTAGTCAGGAAAAATAATGTCGTTCCCAAATTCCTCTATGCCTAACTCTCGTTAATATCCACCTATCCGAACCAGATTCGAGATCTAAAATCATTTGGACTACTCTCGTATATCCGTATATATAGATATAAACTTT